CTTTTGTGTTTTTCAGAGAACACAAACCTTGTTCTTCAGTTTTTTGGAAGTTCTTGAAAAACCTGTTCTCTGAAGAACAAGTTGTCCCCTATAGGGATCAAAAAACTTAAAGAACAAAGATTTTGTTTTTCAGAAAACTGAAGATTCTTGTTGTACAAATCTTTGGAGAACACATATATGATCTCCATAGGGGACAAATGAAGATCATTTTTTTTTCTTTTTCGAAGAACACATATTTTTAACAGTGTAGGACATATTAACTAAACAGGAATTACATTTCTGTTTTAATCTAGGTATGTTTCTAGAAGTCGAACAAAAAATGCCATTCGAGACAAACCAAAATATTTGATTCGAAAGCCAACCATTATTCATGGTCGTAGTAAATCAACTTCGTGTAAGCCGAAAAATAATAGTGGATTATTGAAACGACTAAAAGCCGGAATTTTTCGTGAACGTAGTAGTTTATCACCAGTAAAAAATTAACATCTAGACACTTTCTTTTATCGTCGATTATTTAACGATAGCTTTTAGGAGTAATTTCTACACCTGTTATATTACTAAATCTTAACAGAGAAAAGTCAGATAAATATGATATTTATTATTTCTGAGCGATAAAGACCATAGAAATTGTGCGCGACTATATGAACACCTCTATAAGTCAGCAATACTTGGGTAATATGGAATAGTGTATTATAGCTGTTAACAGGTGTACTTTTTTTTAAAAGAAGAGAACAAATATCTTATGCCTTAACAATTAATGCACTATACAAACAATGTGTGGCTTCAGATTGTGGTGCATCATAAAACACATTTTAGATACCATGACAAGAAATGTGCCTTGCACGTAAACATTTCTGTAAATATTGCGACACTCTGAAACGTGTCGTATCAACACGTATCTTATCCCAAATAGTGCCTCTGCAGAAGATGCATTTGTTGTGTCATACAATGTATTTTCGATAGAATTGACCCTGTTTTCTTTCCGTTCCCTTCTTGTTTCGTGACAGCATGTGAATTCAGTCTATATGATAAACTCAAAATTTTACTCGAAAAATTCACCAATATACCCACCCCATGCATAGTCGCTCGCCAATTGGCGAAAGTCAGATGAATCTTCGACAACTGGCGAACGTCCAGTTGGCGAAAGTCATATTGACGTACCCTCATGATTTCAATAGAGCAAAAAGGATAAACGAAGCTTATGTAATTATTTTCAAAAAAATTTCTAAATACGAATAGTTCACACTGCAGGTTTCAAAGTCGGACTATTATTTCTCTACGCTGTCCTATTCATATGATTTAGAATAAAATATATTTGTAGTTAGATTGCCAATAATGGAGAACATAATTGCTTACGAGGGAACCTCCCGAGATGTACCTCTCCGATTCCAATGATTTGTACACTGATCGATAGACCTCAGTGAGTTAACTCATTATATCATTTTAAAACCTAAACAAAATGTTTGAAACTTGTTTAGGTTTTAAAATGATATAATGAGTTAGCACATAACATCTATTTACTATGTCAAAGAAACATCTAATTTTATCTACCATACCAACAATCAAACGACTCAAACCGCTAAAATCAGAAAAAACATAATCTTTTTTTTTGTTCTGCTAGACTTAGACAGTGTCTAATAGACACTGTTTTTATGCTTTGATGTTAGTTTAAACTTTTTATTTAAAATACGAAAACAAAATAACTAGTAATAATCACGGGAGACACTCAAAAGAGTAATCATTATTTCGTGTAGGTAAAAAACCAGAATATAAGCAACAGCAAGAGTATATCTCATGATTTTTTAATCTTTTCTGATTAGGCTGTTTGTTGATCATAAAAATCCAACCATTTATCTAATAAATGCTCTTTCTCTAAAAGACGGCTATTGAGATACAAAAATTTCATAATAATACTAAGTCTGAATTAACTACTAGTGGCGATCTGCGCCAATATACATTATCATGATAGATGACAAAGAAGGCTACGCACGCCATTAATTTTCTCTTGCAACCATCTTCATAGTAAAATAGTATCATCTACGAAAATTTCTTGAATGTGACAATGCTCGCTTTTTTTCGGTGTCGGTTTATACCGAACATCGTTTTTTTTCGGTTTAAACCGACACCGGTGCAAACCTAGACTAATAGAAAACTTTCTTTCATAGTAAAAAGTTCAGTTTTTCTTTTGAAATATCTTAATTTTTATTTTTTTCTGAAAATATGTATTATTTGATTTAGAAGAAAAATATATATTATATACATTTTCGTATGTTTATGTTCACCTGGGGCAAAAATTGATTTTTATAGAAGAAAACACACACATAAAAGAAATAGTAACAATACGTTAACAGAAAAATTTAACATTTTTTTTCCGCAAAAACCAACAAGAACATAATACTCACATATTAAGATCAAATCGAAAAAAAAATAAAAATATTGAAAATTTTAACAATAAAAATTTTTTAATTTAAATATACGATGACTGACCATTCGAGACGAACTGTTGTTGCTGCTGAAGAATAGGTTTAGTCAAATGATTTTCATCGTTCAGTCGATCATGCAATTCTAGATGAACTTTTTTCTAAATGAAAAGCAAAATATTCTTTGGATACTATAATCGAAGAAATGTTTATGTCAATTGTAGCATACTGGTGTTGATACTGATTGTGGTATTAATGATTCCATTCTTGTTCGTTCTCTATCATATGGATCTTTATGTCCTAAACACGCTTTCCATCTAAACCAAAATCGAGTTGTTTGTAAACGACGAGAAATTGTTTCACGAACCTAAATACACATTTTAAATACTATTCTACTGATGATTTTTCAGAGAAAAAAGATCTTACTTCTGTATTTAGAAAACAATAGAGTAATGAACAAAAAAATCCTTGAAATGTTAACATAAAATATGTAACAAAAAAATAAATGGCAAATAGTGTAACGGATTGATTATCTAAAGAGTAAAATAAAGATAATGAGTGAGACTATTTTTCGTTCGATAAGATAGATGATCACAACTACTCACGTGGTGTAACAAATGTTTCTAACATGTGAGTAATACCTAATAATGGTAACAAAAATATGGCTGCTTTGACGGCTTTTCTAAAATAATAATGTTTATATACAATAAAGTTAACAAACATCTTAATATAATATGTTTTACCTAACAAATCTTGTATTAACTGCACTACGTTTTTGACCGCTAAATAAATATATTCATTATACATGTGACACATAATCAAGAAATAAATTATAAAAGGCTTTACGAAAGACTATTACGAAATTTTACGTATTTTTATCAAAATAACAGTAAAACAATACTTTTCTCTTATTTGTTTTTCTGATCCTTCTTTGATTTTAACAATCAAAACACGAATAATATTGAGCAAAAGTATAAAATTAATCTAAAACAATAAAAAGTGTCTATTTTTAAGATATTTATATTTGGGTGAGTACATAGCCCCTCCCCCACAAACCTACAATCATAACGGCATAACGTGGTCCATCAATAATCCAGTAATAAGGTAAATGGTTATAATTCGACCAACATTGGCGATCACGTTCTTTAATAAACATTACTATAGTCCAACTTAACGTCAAAAAAAATGGTAAACCTAAACAATTATTTAATAGCATATAAAGTTGTTAAAACATACATTAAACTCTTTAAATACTTACCCCATCCAAGTAAATAAAAATAAAGTACTTTAAATCGATTTTTAAACACAGATACAGTTAAAACATTATTTAAATGTACACCTTCACACAACATCCACATAAACATGGCCGTAATACCAAATTGTAAACCAATAACAATAAATGGACAAACTAGTACCTAAAAAATATAGAAAAATAATTTATTATAAAACAGCAGATTATTAACAAGTAAATATATACAATTAATCTTGGTAATTCAACGCTGTGATCCTTTTGCATACGCCTATCACCTTGTGAATATTTCATTTGAATTCTAAAAATACGAATAATAATAATAATAATAATAATAGAGGAAAATCCATAAAAATTGTTAAAATAGACTCTCATACCCATAATTAATAATTCTGGCAATTATTTGTAATAGTATAGCAATTAAGAGATTAATATGAATTTTTGTTCGACTACAATATAATGATCTGAACAAAAAAACAAAAACAAAAATAAAAATATCAATACACGTTTCATTTATTATTATCCTTTGACATATATCATACAATAAAAAATAATTCATTACTTACTTTAGACAGCAGAATATACATAATGATAGAATAACACTAATAAATGATACTGATAAACCAATCATTTCAATAATTCTCACAGCTTGTAATACATTTGTATAAGCCTGAAAATAATTAATTAAAAATAATTAAATAATCTATATTATATCCTTTATTTACTTGTCTTTCTCCTGGTGATTTATTTACATAATATTTATTCATCAATTCCCACACATCCGGATAAAAACATGGTTTATACTGAATTTTATCCCATTTACCCGTTAATAAACATTGACGATATGCAAATTCTAAAAAATATTACATAGATCAACTATAAAATTAGTTTTTCAAAGAAAAATAATTTTCATACTTGTTGGATCAACTCCTTGTGTTGATGCTGGACATGCAATTGTTGCTGTATAATTTAATTTTGTTGGTGGCCAACAACCGCCATCTGTTTGTGCGGGACAATATGTTTCTAGAAGAATAAAAAACAATCCAAAATAAATTTATTATTCTATTTATTTCATATCAATAATTATAAATTCTTACCGTGTTGAGTAAAATTAATATCTGTTAAATTTGCGAATGTAAATGAACAACTCATCGTTTTCTTGTTGCATATCAACACGTTATTTTTTAGTAAAAGTATCACTATTCATATTAAAATACCTAAAAATTCAATAGAATTATTTTCGATTTTACAGGTGTATGCATCAATATATTTTTTTGTTTTGGTCTTTTTTTTTTTTATTATTTTTATTTTCTGCTAATATTTATTACTAATCGAGTATGACATAGTATTAAGATCCATTGCAAGAGAAAGAACGGAAAGAATAAAATGTTCATCACATATATTTATAAACACACATTCACAGTAGGAATTATTGCGTGATATGAACACTAAATTAGTTGAAGATGCGCAATAAATAAAAAAATCTATTTAGAAAAATCATCATCATTATTGTTTCAATGGCATACGTCATAGAAGAAGATGAAGAAAGAAAATAAGAGAACACTTTTTTCTTAAATCACTTTGTTATTCATGCCTCATAAAATAATTCAACTACACAAGAAGAAATGGTTGTTAGGATAATCGACATTGACTGACTATTTTAAAGACGAGTATTAACATTATCTGTTATACTAAAAAATTTGATTTATCAAAAAATTTATACGAAAAGTCACGAAAAAATATGTTTTATGTTACTACGATTTTGTATAAGCGCTAAGAAAGTTATTCTTTCAATATCAATTCTGTTTAAATATTTTTCTTTAAAAGAAAATTCTAAAAAAGAAAATATGAGTAGTTTACAACAGTCACCAATATTTACTTCAACAAAATCTATACTATCTCCCAAATTACTGACCTATAGTGATACAATTCAACCATTATCATTAGACAAGTTGAAATTTCAAACACCAGTCAATGAACAACAATTTTCAGTTTATCGACGATTCCCTCGTGAATCGTTAGTAGTAGCACGACATACTATTAATCGATTGAGAAATCGTGCAGCAATGCTCAAAACTAGTCATGACGAAGATTTGAAAACATGGAAACATGAAGTAAATAAAATTCCTAAACAATATATCTGCGATAGATCTGAGGATTTTCGAACAAATTTATGGTACAAATTCCAGCATAATTCCAAAGTATTGCCTGGTAAATTTCTTAAAATACAGAATGCTATTTTACTGATCATTAAAAATGTTCCGTCGATCTCATCTTCTAGAATGTTCAACTCCCAATGAGGCAGCTATTTCGAGTAAACAATTACCAACAACTACTGAATCTTCTTCTCAAAAATCGGTCTATGAATATCTCTCACCGATTTCAAGATATTGTCGATCAATGCCAATGTGTAACTATTCTTTTAATCAAAATAATAATCCAAATAATTATAAATACGATAGTTACAGGAAAATAGATGGTTTTGTTGATCATTTAACATCACCCAAAGCTCTGAGTTTCTATGATTATCTTAAAAAATCTAATGATTCTCCATCGAATATATTTTTTGATAATACATCCTATTCATTAGAATTTGGTAATCTATTTTCAGGTAAAGTATTATCGACTAACATTCTCTTATTGAGATATGCATACAATCATTTCTGATAGTTTAGATAATCTACATTGTCGGAAGTTATTCAATGACAAACATCAGTGTTTGGAAAGTTATGCGTATGAGTTAAATGAATGTTTTGAAAATGATATTAATCCAAATGATTTTCAGAATGGAATCGAGCAACAAGAACAAAATCTTATTAACTATTCTATTAATCAAGAATTACAAATGCAACGTCGAACGTCGAATGATAAGTGTAAACAGATAGATTTCACAACGATAAAATATTGTCCACAAAATGAATTTTTTAAAACAGCCAAAATTTTAGAATTAGCAGCAAATGCTATGGCTAAAGCTAGTAATAGAGTAACCTCTACAATGTCAAACAATTGTAATGAACAAAAAAAAATTTAAGAACAAAGTTTTCAAATGAATTAGTAAACGAAGAAGAAGAAGAAGAACAAGAACAAAAAAATATAAGATCAACATACGAAGAGTTTCGAGCTCAATAATAACACAGTACACTACGATAATCTGTTTGCACTGTCATTTTATAATACGTACGTATTATCATAATCAGTTTTCTCTGTACATTTGAAGCTAAACATCTCTAATCAATTTATCATATTAATCTCATAAATTGAAAATCTCTTGATATTAAATAAAATGTAGATGCTTTGATTTTTTTGAAACTATTTCAAAAAAAGAAAAGAATCGAGTCATTTTAACACTATTCTATTATAAATAATATGTATCATATGAATAATGAATCAAAACAAACAGATGAAAAAAAAAACTGACCTTTTTGTTCAAAAGCGATATCGCCCATTGAATAAACAAGCGTAAAGTTTGTTTTTTTGTCTTTAAAACAGTATAAATAGAATAGAATATGTTTGCTATTGAAAATGGAAAGAAAACACTTTTTCCCAAATAGAATGTACTGTTAACACGCTTTTTCTTTTTGCTACTACTTCTTTGTATCACATTAAGATTACAAAATTACATTTGTTTTCATTGGAAGTATTAGAAAAAAATCTAAAACGAAGAAAAGCATGATTTTTTTTCTTGTGCAATTACAAGAAAGAGAGAGGGAGAAAGAGAGAAGAAGCAAAGTCAGCTTAGGTATGCATTGTTAGATAAAAGTATAGTTGTATGTTAATCAGAGAAAAAAAAAGAAGAAAAACTCGATGAATAAAGAGAAATTGTCTTAAATATGATGTTTCTGTACACTTAGACATGTTAAAATATGTGAAACAATTTCTTTGTTCTTATTTTTTTGAATCATCATTACTCTCTCATCGTCTGATTCAATATGATGATTGAAAAATTATCCATACAAACAACAGAGATGTTCTAATTCTTTACAATATAAATAACAAATATTTTCGTTTTTCTTCACATATCTTTGTCATTTACCTTGTCTGTATTTGAGAATAACTATCACTCGTCAAATTTAAATCATTTCTATTTTTTCTCTTCTTTTGTTTAATTCATAAAACAAACTAGATATGTGAACTTTTTTCTTTGTTTTTTTTTGATAGTAACATGAACAATACCAACAGTGTTTAATGCAGAATAAAAATGATCGTTTAACTATCGAAAAAGACATCTACTACTTCATTATAAAATCTCTCTAGACTTTTCTTTTTTTTCTTGCATGCAAGTTCGAACTCCTTTTCTCTCTTTATGTTGAATAAATTAGGAGATTTCTAGATCACTTAAATATTTGTTTAAAAACCGCATTATGTATTTTAATTTAAGAACGAAAATGACTCACCCATAAAATTATCGTAGTTTATACGCTTTTATAAATCTGCTAGAATTAAAAAACTGTAAAATTTATTTCTGAACACGAGCTTTTTTCGCAGATGATCTATGATGTTAAAATTTTTGACAACTGTACACCTACTTTTCTAATAATTTTCATGTATGAAAAACATAGGACAGGTTTATCTTTAGAATAAAATAGTTGCTAATAGCTGATCTATCCGTAACCTTAAGAAGGATATAATATTCTGACACTTTTATTAATTAAATAATATAAAAGACGAAGAAAAACTGAAAAGTAGAATGAAAAGTTATTACTCCAATTACCCTATTATGTAAGAGTATTATGTTATTATTAGTGATATACGAACCATAATTTTCGTAATATTTTAACTTTTTTCTGCAGATAATAGAAGGGTAACTGTACTCCTAGTGAAAATCGATCTACTGTGAAGAGTTTGTATACCAGAAAGACTATTACAAATTTTTACATGTTATATCAAAGACAATGATCATTCAACTGTCTTTTTTTTTTGTTTCTTAACCTATCCTAGAAGACAATATTTAGGAGAGAACACGACGTAAAACAATCATTTTGTCCGATTAATAATTGTGTGAAAAGAGTAATCAAGTACCATAACATGAATCATATCTATGTAGAATATTGAATCTAAAACTCGAGGTATCATTACTGATTTAATTATTTAGAAACCAAAGCGATAATAAACTTATTGATACAACAAATTTTTTATTGTCTTGTTTTCTCTCTCTTACTATGTGTCAAAATACAATCAAATGAGTATATCGTTTTTGTGCAGGATTTTAATTAAAGTAAATTATAGGAAATCTTACTCGAATGATGAAGAACAGGGAGAAAGAAAACACAATTGTATACAATATAGATGAATATCTGACTATACTGCACAATTGTATTGTCAAACGAACATAAACAAAATAAAACAAATGACGAAAGACAGTAGAACAGAGCACACTGTGTAATTTTAGCTAGGGCGTGAACATGTACTAGAAAAGCGGTATTAAAGTCTCTAACCACACCTTTTATAGATTTTTTTGTATGCGCCCCTTTCAATGGCGTGGTCGTTAAACTTTCACAATATGTTTATACTGGTTTTCAGAGATCCGGTCTATGTAAAACCAGTTCGAACATACTTCGGAAGTTTGAAGACCATACTATTGAAAAGAGCACATAGAAAAAACCTATAAAAAGTCTGGTTAGAGACTATGGTACTACTTTTCTAGCACATGTCTTGAATGAAACTATCACATTACACTGGATTGAAGCATTTTTTGTTCATAAATACCTCAAACCCATATCATTCGATGCAGTTTTTGACGCTGATCCCGAATATGTAATTATTTTTCAAATAAGAATGTGTGTAGCTTGAGAAAAGTGGATTTTATTTTATTTTTTTACGAATCGACAGTCCAGAAGATCTCGTTTTAGAATATGTATGATTTATTCATAAACACTTTGCACAATTCATAAAAAATATTATTCTGCGGTACATCCTACGTTTTTCGATCTCATGTTCGTGCTATCTTTTTCCACTTTAATACAAAAGCCGGAACAGAAATTTTTACGCCATTAAATAGACCATGAGTCAAGGTCTATATGATACTACTTAAAATTTCAAAAATATCACTTTCATTTTTTCACCCAATGTTCACGTGGTTCTGAGGAGAATTTTCACCTAATGCTCACGTGGTTCTGAGGAGAAGGAAAAAAACAGTTTCTATTAATCTATTGTCAAAAACAGGAGAATACGTAGGAATATATGTTTTGTGTGCTACAATTTCAAATTCTTAAAAAAATTGTGTCTCAATAATAGAAAAAGCTAAGTCTGATGGAAACATCTATCAAATTCTTTTCGATGGTTATCTAACTTTTTTTAAGTTAAGGAATCGGTTAGAAAATGGTGATTGTAAGTAATAGTTAATATTCATTTATTTCTTTAAGTCATAAAAAGTCTTGAAAGAAGTATACCGTTCAAACTATTGCTTTGCCTATTATTCACTAGTAAAATCATATTTTCTAATAATGTAATTATTTCCGCATGAACGATTATAGTCATAATTTAATTGTACATTATAAAACACTACAAAGGTCGTCTTCTCCTTTTCGAGAATGTATTTAATCATTCGATTTTTATTTGCATGTTTTGTATAATGAAAAACAACATAAAGAAAAAAAAATGACTCCCTATGCACAGGTGTACATATTGACGAGTGTCGTATTATTTTAGAATCAGGCGAATAGCAAGGTTCCGCTAGAAAAAATTCAAGGAATCTAAACTTTTTGGTCTAGTACTGGACCAATAATTTTTTACATTTTTTTTTTGCATGACCTTTCGAATTATGAATATTAAAAATTGAAAAATAACTTCGATGGACGATCCGTCTTTGTTATTATAATGTCAATTTTCGAGCAAAACCTCTCGATTACTGTGATTTCAAAATAATACGGTAATCGCTTTTCTTTTTCTTTTTTTTCTTCTTTCAGTTCTCATCATAAAGTTATAAACTAAGAATTCATCAATTTTTACTTTTCAAATATGATCAGAGGATGTGAAATCAAAGGAGAATAAATCCAGTCTAGTCTTAGGAGCGCACTAAAATATGACTACTTGAAAATACTTATCAACATATAACTCTGGCGCATACAAAGAAAAGCTTAATGGAGAGAAGTAATCTACCATTATCGATTTTATAAAGTCGAACTATGTGTACATGTATTATAATCAAATCAAGAACCATGTGTTCAATCTGAAAATACGTGACACAACCGTGTACGCAATGACCTCATGTCTGATAAAAATTGGATATCTTGTCTAACGACGATATTGTACCAACATTACATATCTTTCACCTACGGGCTGAACGAATACATTTCTTTAAATTTTTCTATTGACAAAAAATGGAATGATTTTTCAACCATAGATTAATTTTCTTTACTATTAAATCAATTTCCATAAGTAAACTTGCATCACACTTGATCGTGTACACGTGGTGGCCTAGAGGAAGGAGATAAATATTTCGTACGAAATGTATACTCATTCTTTTATACTAATATTATACGCGATAGTTTCATAAGTACTTCTTCAACCCATGTTCTGAAACATTCGACCGGGAGAAGATTTATGTACTTGTTGTTTTGTTAGAATAAACGAAAGTTTTTGTCATTGCTAAATAACACAGATATGTGTACAACGTTATTTCTCTATTTAACCTTCTATATTAATCTGCTACTTACGAGGGAACATATTTAGGAGGTCGAGTTTGTATATTATTAAACTTTTTCAGGCATTCGACACGTTTTGACAGTAGTACAACGAACTTAATGAAATTTGCAATCCAGATATGTTACGTCAAGGTGACTTAAGAAGATGATGAGATATTTCTAAATATTTGAGATATGTAAGATACCTGAAAACGTTTAATGGCATATACAACTTGACCTCCTCTATAAACGAGATGCATCAGAGTTTTGTCCAATAAAAAAATTGATCTTTAGAAAACTGTTTTTTTGGCAAATCGAGCCATAAAAGACCAATGGGCTGAAATGGTTATCGGATTCGGATTCAGAGTTAAAAACTGTCACAGAAAAGGTTTGTCCAAATGAAAAACCG